CGCATCCCGGGGTCTGCGCGGGCCCGTCGGTGCAGCAGAGGCCACGGTGCATGCTCCCAGGTCTGCACGGCCCCTTGGTGCCAGCAGAGGCCACAGTGCACGTTCCCGGGTCTGCGCAGCCCCTTGGTGCCAGCAGAGGCGCCTAGGGCGCATATTCCCAGGTCCAGGGCTCCTGATGCTCCTTGGAGGCGGCAGCTACTGGGGGAGGAGCAGCTCTGAGGCCTGTCTTGCAGGACATGCCGGCTGGTCTTTGCTTAGGCTAGATGTTTGGAGGAAAACTGGCAGAGGCCCCTCAGCTCCACCACAGTGTGCCAGCAGGAAGCCCAAGCTCCCGGTTCTAGCCTGGATGTCCCTGTGACCTGGTGTTCCCTCTCCTCTCCTGGGACTCCTGATCTGTCAAGAGAGATCGGATCCCTTAGAGACCTTCTCTCCAGCTCTAGAGATCAATGACCTGGACGGGCTCTTGCTAAAAGCCCAGCTCGCCACGTGAGAACTCCATCTGGTCGGCAGGGCTGGGCAAAAGTTGCGAAGCCAGGAGGGCTGGACAGAACCACAACGTGAAGGGTGTCGGGGGGAATCTTAAATCTGGGGTTGAAGTTTCCTTGAGATGGCTTAAGAGTCATAAAAACTGCCAGTATTTGTTAACTGAATGAGGCCAGCAAACCAAAGCCTGCAAGAGCCCCTGTGGGGGGCTGGAAGTGAGCCAGGGAGGACGCGTGCACCAGGCCCCGGTGGGGACCTGCACGTCTCCCCTCCCGAGTTTTCAAAAGGCAAAAAGAATGCAGAAATGGCTCCCAGAGAGAAACAGCACCTGTTACAGTCTGGGGCGCCCTACGGGTCCCCTTGCAGGGCCACACCTCCCAAGGTCAGCCAGGTGGTCTGACCCCAGGGCCTGGAACCCTGAGTGCCAGCTGCTGGGGTGCTCCTGCCCTTCCGTCCAGCAGGAACGGTGACAGCAAAGGCCAGAGGCACCAAGGTTGAGGCATTATTTCCAATTAAAACCAGCTTGGAGGCTGCAGCCCAGCCTGGCCAGCAGGAAGCCACTAACCCTGGGGAGCAGCCAGAGACCCCAGCCCTCTCTCCTGGCTCTGCCCAGGGGCCAGCCGCACAGTGGCTTCTCTCTTAGAGACTTTCTCCAGGCCCAGCGGCTGGCAGAGCCTGCCCAGTGCAGGGAGCGCTGCCTCACAGCTGCTAAAGGCCTATCCTTACCCAGACCCCCCAGGCTTCCCCAGAAGACAGGGTCCCTCTCTGAGCCTCCATTCCAATTGAAGTCTTAGTTTTCAGTAAAACTAAGGTGCCCTGTCCTAAATATTACGTGTTCTCACTGGAGAGGGGACATTCACTATGTCATCCTTACCTGGCAAAAGTGTGTTTTCCTTTGAAAACACACACGTCCAGCACCCCGTGGGAAACCTGCCAAGACCCTCTGCCTGTC